TGTTCCCTGATCACTTTCTCCCACAGTGTCGTGTGAGTAATCCCAATGTTACCAGCATCCACAAACCAAGCCTCTAGAACATTAACTTTAAATGAGCTGGCCTGACATTCGTAGCTAGCACAGGTGAGATCAAAAGCACAAAAGGAGTTCTATACATTCAACAAGCTGATTTATTTCTCTTGTGTTTCACTAAGCTGTTGTTCTCCACTGGTCTAGACATGCTGTCAAACATTACTGATCCAGATTATAACACATGAAAGCAAACCGCTGATCAACCACGATTGGTTTAATGCATTCTGTTACCTGGATACCCTTGTATCAATAAAAGAGGAAATGGATTTTTTTCATATCATCTGTAATCCACGTATCCTGTGTAAAACAAGGTTTATACTTGCTGCACTGCTCATTATGTTTGCTGCTCTAACAATGCTGTTAATGAATGCATGATACTTTCATACAAAACACATATACATATTAATAGGCTTGAACTGATAAGTTGAACTGCAAAATGGCACTTGTTACTTCAAAACACTGAAGTTAGAGATATTTTGTTTCAGCTGAAATCAGAGAGGCTGTAAAAAATGCATTAATCACACATATCAGGATAGCAAACCTTGTGTTAATTGGGCAAACAGATGCTGGTCAAGGGAAAGAGCTGTGAAATATGAGTTGTAAACTGTTTGCTCCAGTGTGTATGAGAAAACCTCACATTTCTTCATAAAATGATTCTATTTCAAGACTGTTAGTGGCCTGTTGGTGTGGTTTCAACAAACAGAACAGCATAAGGATTATACATTTACATGTTATTTAAGCCTTGACATTTTCCTAAGGCACAAACGATATAATGACTTTGATTTTGATCTGAGAGAATTATGCTGCATTCTTCAGGTTGGGTCCACCTTGTTCTTTTAACACAACCATCATCTCAGCACGCGTGGTGAAAGCACTGTTCAGATGCCATGGTTAATCAACAGTACAGCCTGTACACTGGCAATTGGGACACTCAGTGTACAAGTAACATATGGATCACATACCACCCGATTCTGTTTTTTTAAAAGATTGATTTTTGTTATACTATATAAAGAGTTACAGGTGATTTACACTTGTTTTACCACCCACATGTATCTCAGGTGTAAGTCTGCGTCCAGCTGATTTTATCTACGGATCTTATTACCAAATACTCCTGACATTACCTGTATGTGTGTAAAGAAAAGAACCAATTTTCAAAAAACTGAAAGAAAGTATTCATTGCAGAGAGTGAGAAATGATTTTCAAAATTGCCTCTCATATGAATGTACCATGGCATTTTTAGTGATTTTGATACACAATTTTTAAGTTCTTGTAAGTGCATTATTAGTCACGATGTTTTTTATTATAATATCAGCTAAAATATGCCAAAGAGTTTCATACAAATTGACCTTCTGCAACTGCCTTCTCAAAATATCAAATTTTCACACTGATGTATTTGTTTACTTTGAACATATCTCTGCAAAATTTATCTTGTATTTGTGAAGCAACTGTTGCTTTAAATAGCCCCAGTATGATGGAAACCTCAATTTACAATACTCTAAGGGATACAAATGAATAACCATTAATTTACGAGAGTTAGAATTTCACTTAAAAGAGGGTGGGGTGGGCATATTTGGCTGCCCCTCTCACTTTTAAGTTAAATCCTCATACCAAAATCTCTATATTTACAAGTGAAAAACTTTAAGAAAGCTTAAGGGTTGGGTCAATGTCAGAAAACTTAATCTTTTGCAGTGTTTGTAAAAAAAAAAAAAAAAAAAACACTACTGGGGATTATGATGTCAAATTAATGTGAGGTACTACATGCTAAATATTCCAAATGATCATTACTTCCTTCTCCTAACTTAAGGCCCTAATACAGACGTAAAACAAAAAGAAGCTTACCACATTTTAGAGCAGCTACAAGCTGGAACTTCTCCAAATCCCGGAGATGCTTTAAGAAAATGCTCCAAATCTTTACTCAGTGGTTTTGCTGTCATTTTTTTTGCCTTACTCTCTAACAGTTATGACAATAAGATGCATCTATGAACCAAAATAGGATTTTCCTGGATGTGTGAAAACAACAAACACTCTCAAAGCACAGTTCTCAGTTAATATACTCAGAAACGGAATCTCTTGAGGTATATGTTATGTGCATGATGCCGTCTCTGAGGTTTCTTTGTACTGTTTTTATTGCATATTTTATTACCACAGACCTTCCTAGATAAAAGAATGTGAGCATGAGGCATGCACAGTTGGTCTATGATTCACCCTTCTTTGTCCTCTCTTCTAACTCCCGCCACGTTTGCTTTGTTATCTTTGTGCCAACACATAATGTTGTCAAAACCAACTTAAACTGTGTGTTCTTTTACTGCTTGTGACAGAGTCATATAAATATTTCCCTGGCACTAGAAGAATGAAAAGGCACTAATTATAAATCTTGAAATGACAGGTAATTTTAGCCAGCTGTTATCTTCACTATAATAAATAAGTTTTCCACTCAAATATGTTTTTTATTTCAGGCTTCCTGCGTATTGTGTTACTAAGTTTCATTTTCCCCTTACAAACAAACTAATCTCAATTTTTTTTTTTGTTGAACCACATATCTTACACTTCAAATCTGGGGGCTAAATCACTTATAACAATGCCTGTCAATTACGAAGTTTGTGTTTTTTGATCTATATCATATTCTTCTGCCATCTGTTCCTAAGTGCAGATACTATCAAGTAATGGCCTGGACTGAAGAAGAGCTCACACCACATGTATCAGGTGCTGACCTGTAACTGTAAAGGTGCAACACACCTGACACGAAATGAAATCATCCTGATGGACGATTACTCAAGTATCCACACAGACGCAATCTTCAAAATCTGACAGGACATCAAAATGCCAAATGTCTGTTATGAATTTCCTTAATACTTTACTTACTAATATAAACCTGCTATTCCTTTTCAGAATATTTCTAGGATTTTTTTTTCACATACCAGAATGAGTACTACTAATATTTATAAAGCTGTAGTTGTCTTATGACATTCTTGGAAAAATAAAGTTTCAATGTAAAAACACTAAATAGTACAAGGTTTGATGACCCTCTGCATTTTCTTGTTGTTCTTTAACACCATCATTAATTTAATGAAAGTTGCCGAGGCTGTTTCCATCAATAAAATCTCGCCAATCTTGAAAATGCCACACCGTTCTCTGCTCAGGTTATACATGTTCTTTATAGGACAGACAAAACTGTATAGAGCATCAAACACGGCCATAGCTTAGGAGGAAAACAGCTGAAAATAAGCAGTGGGTCTGGGGTAGTTAAAAATTGAAAAATAAATTATATGCTATGATATATGGAGAGTAAATGCAATTTTATATGCACATTTCTCCTACAAATATGTAAGTCATAAGCCTTTTTCCCAACACTGTAACTGCAACACTTATCAACTCACGTATCAATAAAATCCCTGCCAAGTATGAGTACATCATTTCCATTTAATCATACATTCCCATAGAAAAGAGACTTTACCTGAGAAAGGTGTATAAGAAACAACCCCTTGATCTGAGATAAAGCAATTCCAAAAAATAAACATATAAAATTTTTAATCAAACATTCAAAACCAAATGGAATTTCATTAATCAACACCTAAAACATGGATTAGTAATACACATGAAGCTGATCAAACTGTGTTTGGTGAGATCATATTAAATGCAATTCAAATCACCAAACGCATCTCACCAAGAGCATACCTGCAGACAGTATATTTCAATGGGGAGGTTCTTTTTTTCTGAAAAAGTGTATCTTTTGACAATGAAACCCACAAGTGTTCATAGATATTGGATCTAATTCTGATTCAGAGGCCCCTTTTTCCTGGCCAAAGGGGTCGTTCCTTCTTATCCTCTACCCCCCTCCCCCCTTCCAACAGGTCTGATGGGGAAGAAAAAATTTTTTTTCTGCATCATTTTTCCTGTATCTACCTATGAGATCATAAAATAAACATAATTTTCTGTATCTCTTTCTTGTTATCAGTCTGCCTACATATTTGTAGAATTTATTATCTATTCTCTGTCTGCCATTTTCATGACTCATATGATCCACACTGAGCCAACACAGACGGGAAGTTTTCTGATAACATTTACAGGTGAAACACCCCAGGTGGGTGTACAGATACAAGGGCTGAGTACCTCAATGGTGCAGGTAACACTCTTGCTGCAGTCATATCATCAAAGGCTCTTAGCTTAAGTGGATGACATCTGGTGCGGTGTAATTTTTTTCTTGAAATACTGAGTACGTTATCTGTATGAGAGTTTACTGTACGAAACTTAAGTCATATTGTTAATCATTCTTGTAACCTTGCATAAACTCTGACTCATTTTATTTCAGTTATTCATGTAAAACTTTTCTGAGCGTACTTTTAACACACTAGATACCTCTTTCATTTGATTTATTTATTGTTTTAAAAACAGAGAGAGGCATCATAGTTTCTAAATCTTCAAAATTCAGTTTCAAACACAAAACATTCATGATCATACAGCAACAACAGCATCCCATTTGTCCCTGAACACTATAAAATATAACATGACTGCTCAGATAATATATAAGGCCCTTATAGGCAGGGGATTTTATGGGGGTAAGGGTGAGGGGGGGGGTAGAGAAAGAGATAGAGAGAACACACTTTCAGCTACAAAAGGCCTGCCACCTTGATGCAAAATTTGCTGTCAGTACTATGTTATATCTAAAGTTGGGTCAATTAAAGAGGTAAAAAGGTCCAATTCTTTTCACAGTAAGCTCCCCACCCTTTTGAAATTACTGGTCTGTATCCAGCAATTTCAAAAGGAGGGTTCTTTTATTGAAAAAGTGGACCTTTTACCATGAAACCTTCACGTACCTAGATAAAAATTTACCCAGAGGGGACCTTTTCCCAGAAAAAAGGGGGACATCTTTCTACCTCCCCCCCTCTGGCTACAGGCCTGATATATCTAGCTCAGCAACCTAGTCTTACCTTGCAGTTCTCCTGAGGATGGCTGACTGGACCTGTGGTGATGCCAGGGTCATGTCGCCGTGTTGTCTGATACAGTTGACGGCAATCTCTACCGTGGGGGTACCTGTTGGGAGAGCCCGGCGCTCAGCTGGGGTGTGTGGAAGACGTACGATGTGGAGATTACCACCAGTGATAAAAATCTAAATGTGAAAAATAAAATCTAATGTAAACGGTCTCTGGATGTAGACTTTAAATAAAATCAATTTTAAACCAAGGCCGGGTTGTATGTTCAAGTCACATGGTGACCCTAAACAAAAATGTAGTCACAATCATTATCTCTATGTACATCAAATAGTTTTGAACAGATTTTCAATTTTTTCTTTGTATTCTTGAAATTATGAACATGAAGTTTTGTTACACCTATACATATCTTTATGAGTTGATCTCTTTAAAAATTTATCTGAAATCTATTTCATTAAATCCAAGGAAACTGCATGCAATATGTTATATAAATTAATAAATGCATAAGCTTTCCCCCTCTATTCCATAAGCAGGCTGACTAATCCAGCATACCAACTTTTTGTGTGTTCAACAACAACAATAAAAAGACCCACACACCAAACTTCAAAGACAGCTAATTCAAAAAGAGTTATCAATAGATTGATCAATACAAGCTAATTCTTTTGAGGTAATAAAGAATTATACAAACAAAGGCCATGGAATATTTACCCTATTCTCTGAAGTGTCTGGGTTGAGCCACTTGGGGATAGCATTGGCTGCTTCAATCAATAGAAACTCCCCATCTGCATCATAGATCCTAAATAAAACAGACAGAGAATATCAATAACAAATACGGAGCATAGTAGTTTCTTCTTACCAAATTGTGTTTCATGCATTATATAATTTCATTAGTGCTAATGGAATGTGGACAATGCTTTTATTGAATAATACAATGATAAACATAACAAATACAAATCTAACCTGTTTCTTTTTCCCACTACCGTACAAGTGTTAACATTCTAGTGAGCAATAACCAAATTAATCTACCCAGGGCATCCTCATTAAATTACATTCTCAAAACACCCTTTTAATATTTATACTTACTTGGCTATGAGGTTGGGAAAGTTGTCTGTCAGTTTGTACAGCATGTGAACAATGAACCATTCATCATCAACATTGTCACCGTAATGTGTTCTTCCATAAAGATGTGGAGGAACAGTGCCTGTCATGGATAACATAATACAGATAATATGGTAAAAAACGGAACACAAATCATTCACACAATACTTACAATGAAAACTGAAAAAAAAAAAATCCCTCTATACTTATTATACATAAAGTCATTAATTCAACAAAAAGTTGAGTCTCTTTATCATGTCAGTGACAGACACATTTTGTTTTATATATGCAAAACAGTTTTATATATCCTTTTTATAACAGCCAATTCTTTCCTGATTAGACTATACTATACTATAGTACAAAATTTAATACTGGAGAAAGTAAGAAATATGCAAACATGACACAAATCTAAGTGCCATTAAATGTACCTCAGTCACCTTATTGGCAAAACCCTTTATTGTTTTAAAAGCATCATTTTGATTTCAAAAATATCTTAATCAGTACAAATAATACCACAAAATATTATTCCTATTTCATGAGATTTAAATTGAACATCTGCTGATCATTAAGAATGACATTCTTCTCAGTGTCTACAGGCTCATTCCCAATGACATTATTGGTCTACATAGATCTATCCATGGGACTCTTGCTGAATGCAAGCAGATTAACTGAACAACAAGATTCCTCCTGGCATTGAGTAGAATTCAGAAAAGCTGGTGTTTATACGAGGAGTTAAAGTGACTGCATTCTGTGAGAGTCCCTACGCAGACTTATACTGATAATGTCAATGGGAATGAGCCCTAAGATAAACTCAGCACACAAACAGGTGGCAGTTTGTTTAATTTTGTACATCTGGAATTGCACGGTTCATGAAAGAGATATCACAATGTTTATAACAAAAACATTAATTCTATTTTTAGAAATACTATGACATAAACATCAGATTACTGCTTAATTATTTTAGGATAATGTTGTCAGCAGTGTTGCACTTACAGACAAATTTGTTTATCTTAGTTGCTTTGAAAAAACTCTGAAACAACAATTAAGGTACAAGATGTGAACCCTTCTGGATGCTGGATGCTAATTAAAACAAATGGGATAATAATAATAACAAGACATTTAATATTATTTGTTGGGAAGAAATGAAGCAAATAAATGTCAAAGCCAAATCACCCATTTATTATTGAATATCACATATTGTGAAGATTATATCTTTTTAGATCATTAAAAGTTTATATGGCACCTGATATCCACAAAGTTTTTCTTTCCCCCTCACTACCTTTCTCCTTGTTTAATGGACTGCTCTGCCCTATCTTTTAAACTTTTTTCTCTCCACATAAACACAGAACATTATAACTTTTCACTTTCTCAACTGCTCATATTTAATCCTTCTTTATTTGTTTTTCCCAAAGGAAGACCATCTGGCAATTTTTTTTTTCTGTACAAAAGTAATCCAATCCACCTCTTCATCGATAGAGTTGGGTATTTGCAATATGCTATCCAAACTTTAACATGTAAGTCTTAGGATATGTCATATTTTTTTTTCAAATTTAGTTGTGTGGTGACTGATGTCAATATCTCTGCTAGTCAAAGTTAGTTTTACAGTTCACTTGGTGGTTTTCTATCATGATACCCGACTCTTAGTCTTATTATAATAACGTTTCTTGTCAGATATTGCATAAATTCATAAAGTAACTTTTCAAACTAATTTTCCTGAATAGCAGAAAAAGTGACCATATTTAGTTTATTCATAAAGGAATCAAAAAACAAACAAACAAGCAAACAAACAATCAAACCCAAAATATTTAAGTTTAGGGACATATATGTTCTATAATCTTGATTAGTACATGTACATATAGTTTTAGATGTACATCTGCATGGCCATTTAATAAACCTACTGAAATATATATTAAGCATTTTGTCATAATATTCATGTCGATTGTTCTATTAGCGTAACTCGTCATAATACCAACCTACGGTTAGCTTTTATTTGAAAATAATGCCAATGTTACAGAAATGTGGGGATCACAAATAATAAATAAAAATAAATATTCATCATTCAGACTTACGTATTTCTCATTTGTATGTTGTTCATCAATATCTGAAAATACACTTGTAGCTGAAGTGAGATGAAAGAATGCGAAGAATCCTACAGTACCTGCAGACGAATCCTTGACAACACGTAAATTAAACGGTTCAATCTGCCAAATGTAGTCGACAAGTAGATCTCCAAGGTAAGCAAGATACAGTTCTTGTTCTTTTTCCAAATATTCTTCTACGTCTGCTTCTCTCACATCGTCTGGGACAAGTGGAAATAGGAAATATTCACAAACGTCTTCCTGACGCACATGTTTTTGTTCTGCCATTTTCCGCTTTTGCTCAGCATTGAATCAGGAAGTGAGTCTTTCATTGGTTGCGTTATTTGCTCTTTTAGAAAATTTATTCAAATGAATGCGATAAAAATATATACAAAATTAAATAATAATCTTATATTAATCATTTTTATCAAATATGGACAAACATTACAAGAAAATAATAGTTAAACGAATTATGACAAAGTTCGCAAAAGCTTACTGCGAGCCTTCAAAATATGTCAAGGTCAATGTCATCTGAAGTTAGGTAGATCACGGGACGTTATTTGTTCTTTTGAGTAATATTATGTTGAAACCCAAAGCATTGACTCAAGTTTTGAGTCAAGCGAACACTACCGGAGTCCAGTGCACATTGTAAGTTTGCGTTTTGTTGTAATTATTTCAACCTTCTTGTTATCGGCTTTTATTTGAAAATGGTCTTGTAAAAACATTTATCCTCTGTTGCGCTGCGCCACTGGCATCGCTTTGTATTATGCTGCAGTATCCCCATCCCCACCCCCATAAATGTTACATCAAATGTTCATCAAAATGTCCTCTGACGTTTCCTACTTTACGAAACCAAGCTTCCTAGTGTCGGTGTCTTCTTCATCTGGTTACTGGTACACAATGAAAGTCATCATAGGCTTCTTCACAAGATGTAAACTTTTCTTTTAATTGATTGATTTTGCTGGTTACCATCTGAGATAGCACTGACGCACTTGATAACAGCCCCCTTGGCCTTTCATACCCGTCTCAGCTTCGGCAATTGGTTCACTTCTTTTCTTGGGTCAGTCACTGTGTGGGGTTGACAACATTAACTTCACATACAGAGAGTCAGAACCTACTCCTCAACAGTTGCATGTCTTCTAAGCCGTGGACCACTCATAACACAAGCACTTCACTTCCTTGCTTACATTTCTCATTTGTTTCAACGATGGCTTGTTATTGTTCACTAAAAATGAAATCACCCTGGATATATCCCTGTCCGATTCCTCGACAGTTTTCCAATTAATCAATTTTATTTGACCACATACCTTCTTCATGAGAGAAGTCCGTGACAATTTGCAGAGAGTGCTAGTGTATCTCTACTCAGTCTGAGCTCAGAACAGTAGAAGTCACAGTTTTTAGTCAAATTTATGAGGAGCAGGTTTTTCGGTGACAAAGATGCTCCCTGTGGTAGAGGCTACTGAAGCCACATTCCACCACAGCACTCACTTGTAAAGGCTACTGAAATGTTGTCACACCTGTTTGCTGCATTTCTTGGTGCTCACCAATCAACATTCTGTTCCGACATCTATTACACAATCTTCCAGTCTGAGAGGAAATTTTTTGAAACTCCCGGATGAGCCCCCATGTGCCACAGATTGCTTCTATTGATAAAAACACTCAATGTGGTACTGTGCAATATAAAACGTGGATTTGGTAACATAAGTAAACGAGATCGGACTTTATACCTCATCACAATAGTTTGAAACCATTCCCAATTCATTTTCTGATGTCAGATGCTCCTCTGTTTCTCTTTTAAGATAACTTCATGATGTATCAATGACACAAAAATCACATAGATAGCTTCAAATCATTGTCTTAATTATAATTAAGCAATGTTGGTGCTGACCTTTATCACTCTGGTATTAGAGACTGTCAGTTTTTAATTCCTTTCAAGTAATGTAATAAAAATAACTGCCATATATGGTTTCATCTTTTCTAGACTGCTGAATAATGAGGGAGCATTGTTAGCATATTCTGGCTATGGAGACAAAGATGCTAGAGTAACAGCAGCAATAGCGAGTAACATATGGACAGCCTATGAGAAAAATGGAAAAATGGCTTTTAATGAAGACAGGTTGCAGATGGTCATGATGGAATGTGAGGTAATTGTTTTGACATTTTTTCAAGAAAAACTGCATTTCACAATTTGTACTATTAGGTCTGCATTCATTATAGACATTATAGAAAATTTTTGCCATATCTTATTTTTCTGTTTTTGATTCATTTCTCTTTCCATTTCTTGTAGGAAGGAAAGGTGGCAATAACTCAAGTTGCTTCTTTACTTTTGTGTTTGTATGCCAAGGAAAATGTTGGGTTTGGTATGTTAAAAGCAAAGGTAAGACCAACAGTATGAGCCCATTGTGTCAATGTCTTTGATTTTGTTGGTATTGTGTTCTTATGACACTAAAATAATTCAATACATTTAATTTAGTTTCCACACAGATGACTTGAAGTGATCTCTGTTATGTCAGAATACTTTTGATTGGTGTAGTTTTGATATAGCCCTTTTAATTATCACAAGTTTTCTGATCAGATATTCAGCAATGTGCACTTGAATCTGATTATTTGAGAGCTCCAAAAAATTGATGTAGGGTTCACATCCTAAATTAAAAATTAAAAAGGTTTATAAGTAAGGTTTATGCACTTTTCGATTACCAAAATGCATTATACTGACGGAAAAGGTGAAGTACATGTTCTACAGAAGTTTAAAAAATTGATCTTTATATTACAGGCCGAAGCCCTTGCCAAATATCTAGAGGATCCACTGACTCAGGTTGCATCATCATGACAGCAGCTGACAGAGATTTCAATTCCAAAAACATTGATTTATATCAGAAGATTTCTGACCCCAGCTGATCTAATTAGTATCTGCACTATCCTTACTTGTGAATATTGCAAGAAACAATTGAGTGATATTGTCACTCTTACTTGCTCGATTGTGTTAGAGGGAACTAGGATTTCATGTTATAGAGGCTGATCTTTTATTGAAAAAATTATAGTGTGTAAAGCGCACAGTAAAAGATGCAGAAGGAAGGACATCTTGTCTGATAACTTAACTATTTGTATTTAGAAAATGCAATTCACTGCTGCCTGCTATATTAAATTAAGTTGAAGCATGATAGGTATCTGAAAGCTAATTCTGATTTGGAATTAACTGGGTTATTGAATATTATTATAATTACATTAATAAATGGATATTGTCTTTGTTAATTTTTATCATCAAGATTTTTTCACTACACTGTATTGTCATCATTTTTATTTGATAAAATTTTTTTTCCTGAGGAAAATTGTCATACCAGCATATATATATATATGTACTGTATAAATATAATTATACTGGAAACACATCCTGTTGTATTGAAAGTTATGAAATACTTATAAGCATTTTTTTACTTAGACAACTTAAGTAATAATTAGCCTCAGTTCAGGACTACAATTTGTTGGCTAGGTTACAATTAATATTTTTATAGTTCAAAACAATATTTAACTTCTTTTCTGCACAAGAACCTAGATTTTTCAGTGCAAGTCACAAGGAATGCGTGGTCTTTCAACAAAGGTTTGATGGTTTGTTCCTTAACTGATATAAAAAAAAAACTTGCAAGGAGAGAATGCTGAGAGTTTTACTTGGGTCTGCATATTTATCATTTTGGTGCCCTGGAAGTTCTGAGAGATCGGATAAAAAACAAAAGAATCAACAGATTAATTAAAAATAATTTTTATTAAATCCATCAACTTAACTTTCTTACAAAAAATAAATGTTGAACTATGAAATGGCAGAACTGTTAACAACATACAAATCGGTAAGCTTTCACACAGTATCTAATACTATTTGGCAGGTACTGTTTGGCTTGTTACATGCACAAAATGCCATCTCTGAAGTAGGAAGGTATTAACAAGATGAGTAATTGAGCTTGCCACTGTGGGACCATTCCCATACCTTACTGTACTAGCAGGTTCAATCTATCTCTGAGGGGTTTCTCGCTAAATTGCATTTAGTTTCAGGCCCGTAGTTAGCAATTTCAAAAGGGGGGTTCTTTTTCTGAAAAGTGGACCTTTTCCCATAAAAACTTAATGTACCTAGATCAAATTTTACCTAGAGTGGACCTTTTCCCAGCAAAAGGGGCGGTTCTTTCGAACCCCCCGAACCCCCCCCCCCGGCTACGGGCCTGAGTTTAAACATGCACGAATGTTATTAACTCCCCTTGCAGCTTTGGTGGGTATGACAGACATTTAAGGTGCTTAAATGAAATGCAATTTAGTGAAAATCCCCTCAGAGTAAGATCAATCCTGCTAGTACAATAGCTTTATGGGAACCCAGTCTATCACTGCTTTGTGATACAACGGCTATTTGCCCTTAACAAGAGAATAAAGCTTGTCAATCTCTTTGCCATAGTCACACTCTGGAGTTTCCAATATAAAAGGTATGTTGTTCAACTTTGGATCATTCATGAACCTCCTGAAGCCCTCCAGACCAATATGGCCTTTACCAATATTTTCATGTCGGTCCAGGTGGCAGCCACATTTACCTGGGTGTTGAAAAGAACTGTCAAATTAAATGAAATGCTTAATAAATGTACAAAAAATGAATGTAGATGACTGTTTAAATAAACCGTGATCCATTTAGAACTAAGTTACTTTTAAAATTAATAATGGTGCAAAACATTGAATCCAAGTGAAGGCAAATTACTCCATTAGGAAGAAATACCCTTTTTTTCTTGAGGAAGATTTTAATTAGATTTGCGCAAAAATCTCATATATAATGCTTTTAAAAAGGTGACCTGTTCAATAATATGTCAACTTAATTATGAAGCCTGGAGTGTAACAGTTAAAAAATAATCATTTCTTCAAAAATAATTAATTTCACATTAATTTTTTACATGTGAATGTACCGAAAAAAAACATGTTCTTCCACGTAAACATGTTCTTGTACTTGCCTTTAGAATCATTGACATGCAAAGCCTTCAGGTACTTGAAACCAATTATTTTCTTAAACTCTTCCATCATTCTGTGAAAGCCCTGAGCTGTGTTCAGATCATAACCTGGGAGGAAAGAATAATTACTGATAGATAGTGCAACTTTTTATACTTTTAATAAAGTACAGCAATAATACTTGGTACATATTGGAATCTGTTGATTTCACCACACATTTATGTTCATGTTATTAGATTTAACATACCATTTTCTACACCAAATTGAAGCTATACCTTACAGAGCTTTTTAAAGCTACCACACAGGTGAATTTCATTTAGAACACCTTAAAGCTAATTTCTTTCTTTAATATACAGTAAAGTGTTAAAATACAGACACTGGAATCATGAATAACTTTCACAGCTTGTGTTAAGAACAGAAACTGTTGGATGCATATATAAAGCACTGTTACAGGTTACCTCACCAACACATGGCACCTGATAACAGCCTAGATGATATTACTGATTAATTACAACACTTACCTGCAGCAAAAGCATGGCAGGTGTCCAGACACACCCCAACCCTCGCCTTGTCCTCCACTCTGTCAATGATGCCACGCAGCTCTTCAAAACTGCCTCCAATTGTGTTCCCCTGGCCACACATATTTTCAATCACTGAAATTAAGGGATGTCATATATTAGAGTAATCTTAGACCCCATTTCCAGAGATTAGATTGATCTACTTTAGATCAACCTACCTCCCTGGGGGTTCACGCTAAATAACTGTCAGCCGAGCGGACACAAAAGTTAATCACCCCCTTACAGCTTGTAGTAGGCGGGATGGGCATTTAAGCCGGATTATCTGACAGTAATCTAGTGAGACTCCCCGCCGGGATAGATCGATCTAAAAGCTCTGGGAATACAGCCTTATACCTATCAGAACATGACACACAAAATGCTATATATGCATGAATAAAAAAAAATCAAATTCTTCAACTTTACAGCTTTTCATCCTTATGTATATATGTTGGTTCACCATTCACATTTCAAATATATCTATCATCACCTGTATAAATGATACTAAACAATAATCTGTACATGCTGAAACTGTCGGGAAAAAGAACCCCACTTTTTGCTGGTAAAAGGTCTCCCCTGTGGGAAAATTTTTATCTAAGTACAAGAAAGTTTCATGGTAAAAGTTCCATTTTACAGAAAAAGAATCCCCCTTATGAAATTGCTGGCTTAATTCAGGCCTGCTGCAGGTCCTCCTTATTCAGTGCAGGTCAAAACTGGGTAATACAATATAATCTTTATAAGTCTATGCTTACAAGTGATTTATCATTATGTTTTGTTTTTTCACATATTGAACCTTCTCAGTCCAGAGGACCTTTGCTATCAAAGATCTTGGCAGGGGGTGTCGCAATAGTCCAAAGGTTCATTGGTCCGAAAAAAGGCAACATTTTCATAGTTTTTTTTTAATCAAGGGTTCATTGGTCTGAAGGTTCTATAGCAAACATTTGGACCAATGAACCTTTGGACTACTGAACCTTCGGACTACTGTATTGCTATGGCCCCGTCCTCTGGCATTTAAAGCAGTCAAGACTGGTTGGACAGCCAGTCTCCCCAATGTCTGGACTACACACACACAATACCACTGGTAGCTCAGTTATTACCTGTGATAACATACTTGGTCTTCCTATGTGCCTGGTTAATACTAGTGGCTATCCGGTCCAGACACTGCTCCACGCTGATCTCTCCACACGTGGACCCAGGGTGGAAGTTATACAGAGACAAGCCCAGCTTCTCACACCGCCGTAGCTCATCTATCAGGGACTCTCTGCTCTTCTGGAGGGTCTCTGGGTTAGGAGAGCCACAGTTTAGCAGGTAGGAGCCATGGGGGAGAATCAGGTGTGGTGGGAATTGGTGTTCCTTCAGAATAGTATATAATGCTTCATGCAATCATGGTATTTCATGCAATCAACTTATTTTGCTGTTTTTTTTTAATCTTTTTTGCTTTTCACATTTCATCCCGTTTTGTTTATCCCGTTATACTGCCAGTTTTTTTGACATAAGCCATGATAAGCTTTTAGGAACATATAATTTTCATTTCCAAGTTTTGACAACCAAATCTTCTTTAAAGACACATTTTGTTGAAACTGGCTAATTACAATAAAGCTCACCAGAGTAACAGCAATGATTCATAACTGTATATTCTATATATCAATATTTAGTTTATTTATTCATTTACTGGATGTATTCACCCAATTTTCTCACCTCACAGGCTTCTCTAAATTTTTCTGCTGCCTTGTCATCTAGTGGCTTACTGGCCCATTGCCTCTGGGACTTCAGGAACATCCCAATGGCTTCAGCTCCAATATCTACAGCATTTTCCACAGCCTTGTGCAATCCACCTAGAATATTTTAATATATATTTGAGTACTCCATGCACTGAAATTAAAAAAGATGTAAAAAAATTAAAAAATGTATTTCAATTGAAAAGAAATTTTATTAAGTGACAGCAGTATATTTGTAAGAAATCCACTTTTACCTGCAATAGAAACATGAGCTCCAACAAACTTTTTAAAAGTAGTTCTGCCCGAAGCCACAGTTTTCATTGTTTCAGCCTCCTTTTTGACTGTATTTTTCTTTACTGGTGACTTCCTATTTATTCCTGAGGAAGATGGCTTTCCTGATCTCCTTGAACTACTTGGTTGATCTAATTTTTGTTTCTTTTTAGGAGGGCTGCTCCTAGGTTCACTTGATTTTTTCTTGGGCATGACGCAGAGCACTTCTCACAGCCTACAAAAATATATGCAAAACATGTATGACATGCCTCAAAGTCTGGATTTAAATTGTGTAGAAATAAGACAGATTGTTACTAAATCTTATTATTAAAATTAAAGTTTACTGTTCTTACAACAAAGTATGCATCATTACTTTCTGCAAATAGTTTTTACTAGAATGCACCCCCAGTAATACATGTACAAGGGCCAGGATCAATTTAACTTGCAATGAAGTAGAGAATAGAACAGACTTGTTACTATTCAAGTTGTACTAGAACACAGTGCAAGCACATGTAGTAGTACACATATCTTTAACTTAATGGGTGCACTGATCACTGGAGGGAATACTAAGGCAGACTTTGATTACTTGCACTTTTGCCATTTGACACTTTTGCCAATTAAATTAATATACTCAGTGTCAATTTAATTCGCTGCATCATCCATTCATTCATCTACCAGTACTTCAAAATTATTTATAGGTGATGGAAGTTTAATAAGCCTTAATCTAAACATAGCATAATTTTTTAATATAACGCTAACTGTTATAAATAAAATTAACTAAAATTGCGCCAGTCTGAAATAAATTCCCATGCATTTAATCATACAGAAAATACTCAAGTACTTGTACTACTAAATTACACATTAGACTTTGCTAGATCGAGTTATAACAGGTGCGGGTAAAATCGTTTGTGGTCTACCCTGAAATGTTAATCGATGTATTGGTGTAATATTATGAATGAGCGAGTTATCTTCCTAGGTGACAATGCTTACTCCCGACAGTCGGGTTGACTTCGTGATGCGCTCTCGTGTTTTAAGCACTGCTTTTTGACAGATAGACAACTATAGATGGCGCAGCGTGCACAGTGCGTATGAGAGTCCAACACTATTAAATCAGCACTTAAAGGACAATGTTCATGTAAAAATCCATTTCTCGAATTTTGAAGATACAGCATTCAATCTATACACTAGAGGTATGTTTTAATCGATCCCCGCCATTTAAAAATTATAAAAACAATCTATTAGTAGAAAAAAAAAAGCGTTTTAATAAAGCTCACCTCAATATGCAAAAATGAAGCAACAGATCTGGGTCACGTGGTACTGTGACGACAATCACGATAAAGGTCTATGAGACTCAACTGAGCTTCAGGTGCATACAGACGGAGAAGTTAAGGAAAGTTGTGTTGAACGGAGTTGAGGAATTTTCGTTATGCCTCGGTGTGTTGCCGTGGGATTCACCAAAATTGCAGCTCTCGTTGACAATCTTTCTTTGTCTGTGACGGTCTTCCGTGACTCACTTACTAACTTCGGTGACAATAGTTGCGATGCTCTAGATCATGGTCACCTCATGTGGTTTAGATCATATCAAGAGCTGGTAGTCTTTCAGATTAACTGTCATCAGTTGGCAAACTTACTGNTAGACAATGCAGCTCAGTTTGACAGCTAAGCACGCTCTGTTCTCCAGTGGCTCGATTGTCGTCATTGGACCACGTGACCACGTAGCTCATTAACTCCCAGGCCGAGCAAATTAAATAGGACGTTTTTTAAAGCCAAAAATTTACATATGTATATGTACATATGTATTTGGATAAAGATATCGTTAGTTGGGCATGTTTTCTGAAGAATATGTTCCGTTCAGGCCATTCTGACGGCATGAAGCAAACCCTTTAATGCACACGTGTGACTATTTACTGTTATATGATTATTTTCAGTTACGTTAAATGAATCAGTGGAGTTGCATTTTGCCTGTTTTTTCCCCCACCACCCAGATTATAAGTGTGTGTGTGCGTGTGTCTGAGTGGGCGTGTGCGTGCGTGTGTCTGAGTGGGCGTGTGCGTGCGTGTGTCTGAGTGGGCGTGTGCGTGCGTGTGTCTGAGTGGGCGTGGGTGTGTGGGCAGGGGTCACGTGAAGAAAACGACTGTTAGCCTACATCTCTTAAAAGTCTAAAAAATTTTGTTCAGAAATGAATGAAAATAAATAAATAACGAACAGAAAAAATTAAAGAAACAGCTGCATTTACAAATATTAGGCCTACATGCTTTGGTCCGCTGTGCTGTCTACCTATATTTTAATCTTAAAAGCGACACTGGTGAAACGTTCCCACAGTAGGGGATTAATACATGGTTTACGTTCTTAGCCCTGTGACATGAACATGTTTAGAGCGCTTTTTTTTCGGTTAAAAGGCACACATTTACATACTCTGAAAGATATTAGGCCTATTAAGGAACATCCAGATAGACAAATCGTAGGCCTTCTAGTTGGCTCGGCACAACTCTGCAGGGGCTTTTGCTAAATTTTAATCGGTTTAACTGAATTACACACCACCTCGAGCAGCTAGGGGGTAAATAAACTTCGTGTTCGCTCGGCCTATGTCAGAAAATTTAGCTGATTTTACCGATTGCACTTAGCAAGAATCCCCCGCAGAGTTGGACTGACCCAACTAGTACGATGTATGTCTATCTGAATGGGATCTTAGTACCCAAAGCCAATATAGAGGTGCATTTCACATGCTGAAATATTTAAGATAAATAAATAAATAAATAAATAAATAAATAAATATGATAATAAAAAATTGAATGAATTCTTCGTTGTATTCAATTTTTTTTAAACATATAGGTAGGGGTGGGCAAATGAAAGCTTTTTTGGGAAATTTAATTTCAGACAAGTGGATTCTATGGCCATTTTGTCTGCTGAATACAAATCTAATAAGTATTTTCATTTTAAATTACATCTGATATTGGTATCAAGTGATTTTTCAAAATGGCCACCAAACGCTCCCTCAAATCACATATTTCTCATGTAAATCTTTAAATATCAGTTCAAAGATGGCTTGTTATATGTCTAACCATATGATTTCATGATCAATGAGCGCAAATAGATACATCATTTCGGTTGGGTGACTTCATTTTGGGTTAAAAAGAGGATTTTTTGGTCATTTTGAGGTAAAAATCACCCCAAAATCACCATTTCTGTGTACATAAATCAGATGTTTATGTGCAACTGTGGCTTTTAAATTAGGAAAAACAATAATACAACAAATATGGTCAATATTGTTCAAGAATCACGTGAAACTGAAAAGTTTTGACATATAGAATAGGCATAATGTTAGTTACATACGGGAATATTTACAGTAGAACACTCAGTAGCAGAGCATTAAGGATATCGTTACTCTTTATTACCATCCAGATACCGAAAATGAGTTTTTTCCTGCATCTAATTATTCAATAATGTATCTGTCTTTGTGCTGCTTTGAAACAGTGAAAAAACTCTTGAAAATATGAAATATCGGCGTTTATATTTTTTCGTTGCAACGTATAAGCATAAGCAACTCAAAGCTTTAATCATCTATTTAACAGCTTTCTTTTTTGAGATAAGTTGGCAATCCATATGGGGCTTAACTTCATCCCTGAACAAAATTTTATCACGAAAATTGGCAAATGGACCACAAGGGCATGAGCTACAATCCCATGCCAAAGTTTTGGTTTAAATGCTTTTGTTATTGAGTTATGAGTCCGTAATAAGAGATCTTCTAAAAACAAAGGTATTATTTTGCTTTTTCAACGATCAAATCTGAACTAAGGCTTTAAAAAAATCGCTGGCAGGGTTTTGGGGTACTAAATGGTGTCATTTAATTGGCTTTGAAATAGTGATCATGGGTGTTCATGTAAAACAGAAATTTGAGAAACCGATTTTTCAGTTTTTACCACCAAACTGCAATAATGCCGTCACCCGTAAGATGACATGTGTAAATGTTAATTAATGTAATCACTGAACACTGAAAATTTATTTATCACCGAAAAGAATGAATGTAAGGCAGTAAATAAGGAGTTTTGGGTGAACAGTGACAATATCCTTATTGTCTTCATTTATAACCTAGTCACACTAGAGGCAGAATGAGCTAGAATGTAGTCGGAATGAAAATTTCTTGTTTTTTCCTGGATATTATAAGTATCTAAAAATTCTAAGCGCATTCTAAATGTTTGGGTTCATTCTTGCATCCTGTTAAAATGTTTTGTTCATTCTCAAAACTTTTGAAGTGCATTCCAAGTGGAAAAATATCGAATGGCATTCAAGTGTATTCTGACTCCACTATGAGCGCATTCTTAAGATTCTTACGAAATTCCAACAGCATTCGAAACATTTTGATCACATTTGAGGGAGAACCGAAATGGCAAGGCGATTCAAATCTTGTCAGAATGTTTCACATTGTGCCTCCAATGAGCAGGAATGCAACTCGAATGCATCTTGATTGCAGGCCGGAATTCAGCCAGCAATGAAACCACACTTGTATGGCATTTGAAGTGCATTCTTAATATTCTCACTATATTTAGACAGCATTAACGATATTCCTAATGTGTTCCAACTACATTCAAGCTGCATTTGAGAGCTAATACAATAAACCGAAATGTGCACAAAGCATTCCAGGTGGGTTCGAAGCGCATTCTGAGGTATTCTTACTGGAATTAAGGTCAATTTGATATTACCCAACGAATGTGGCATGAATTTTGAAAATTCTTCATTATGGCTCATTCTGCTTGATTACTTCAGATTCCAAATAAGTGTGACAGGGGCCTTAAGTTACAGTGCCTTCTGGTTTCAGTGTATTTCTTGTTGATGCTTTCATGGTGGTGGTGAGATACTCTTAAACCACGCAACTGAAACTAAGTACTATTCCAAGGTCAAGAGCTTAGAGGTTGTAAGAGGTTGATGTCACCTGACAAAGTGTTACCTGTTCTTAAGAAAAGGAAAATTATACAGCATAAAATTTTTTGGTACACATCCATGAAGGTATTTTCAGCATTGTTTTTATACCAAACTGTAATCCATGAATTCAGTATGTACATAATGGCCATTATTTATATTTATCTTAGGCTCGAAGTGTGTATTTTATATATATGTTTGTTTTAAATAACATATTTTTACAGATGTCACCCTAACAATATTGTCAATGTCTTGAATATGCTCATATTTGAACTCACCAACCCTCAAAACATATAGAAAGACATATTACACATAATTTTTATGTACTTTACTGTGAAAATATGGCCAAAAAGCCATTTCCTTTTTCACAAACAAATAGCAGGTACCAATATAAATCTTTAGCTTTGGTAAAAAATATTGTCAGATTTGTGTTCAGCAGCAAAAATGGCCTGTTTTAAAAAAATTTTGTCATTTGCCCACCCCTAATATAGGCCTATGTGTATAAAACAAAAACCCACGGCTGTCTCAAATTTGTATCTATATTTAATATTAACCATGTCTATACATTATTTAAGAACCCTAAATGGTAGTGTATGTTTCGGTAAAGTTTGTTCTGGGGTTATACAATTTTGATTTTTACATCGCGTTTTGCAGTGATTCAGTCATGGTAAATTATATATATATAATGTATTGATGTTCTTATGAATATTAAAACTGCAACTCAAGGGGCTTTGCGTCATGGCTAATTCTAAATAATGTACATGTATGTGCCCTAGAAAAATTGTCAAAAAGTTTCATCTTGCCGAAATACTTGATGCAATAGGAAACAGGGTTTTCTGTTGCTGACTGAAAAATATATTGTGATTCCATGACAGTTTGACATTTCAGATATAATACTTGGATTGCTAATGGAAAATAGTTTATTTAATTTATTTTACTTCCAGTATTCCCCCCCTTTTATAATATTCAGTGACAAGCCAATTAAAGTCACTCAAAAATTGTTTGCTCTATGCTGAGGATTATCATAATTCTTTACAACATTATACTTATAGGCGATAAATTAAAGAACAAAACCAGTGATGACTAAATTTTCAAAGTGAGTAAAACGTTTCCACGGCTATTGCATTTGTGACAATAACTTTTATTCCCTTTTGGGGTTAGACTATATTTTTATTATTATTATTCATGGTTCCGGGAGAGTGAAACTTTGATACCAACTTCTTCATGTGGGACCCTAAAATAATCAAACAGTTTGTAATCATTCTACTAAATATTATACCTGTAACCTCATTTGCACCTCTAGGGAGTAAATCATCTCATTTGAGTTCTTCTTTCTTTTCCTTTTTATGTTACAAAAACCTGACAAATAATATAAAATCTATGCTGATCAACATGTTGTTAACAGGTAGGGCTGTCACCGTGGTAAGATGCCATTTTTTAGAACTAACGGAATGTTCTTAAAAAAAATCGGTTGCACCTTTCTATAGTACTCAAGCACAGCTCCTATTTGCTGGATTGTTTTACTGATACAAAGCCAGGTAGAAGAGAACATCAAGATACATGTACAGAAAAATAACATTTGAATCACCCTTAAACCACGAGAAAAAATTAGAAAATGCCCGAAAACATCTTTAGATAATATATCATATAACAACCAGATTTATATAAAGTTTTTTAGCCTGATTTTGGCTAACAGGTAGGCCTATAAAATCGCACTAAAGGCGACTTGTATGAATCACATCAATGAGATCAAAGAATCCATACCTCATGTCGATGTCACCTATCTCAGATATTTATAACGCCATTTCATAACGCGTTTTCAAGATTAGACTTTTAACTTTATTCTCCTGAAAGATATGTACTGGCTGCATAATTGAAGGCCGGGGAAGAATGGCACTGACCGCCCATTATAAGTGGACCAGATTTTCCGTCCTTGATCCCTGTTGTGTATTAATTACCCTGCAGCACTGCGGACAAACATTAACTTAATTGTGATCAAAAGCAAATATTGGGTAATTGACATCATTTGTAAAAATCGGAAATTGACTATTGCGGGCAGTTTGTCTTGCGCCTTAGGCCGGCAAATACGCCACAATAACGGAACATCGCCGTGACACGCTGAGAAAAGCATTAGCTTGTTCATATCGGTACGACATCGAAATTACGCGAACTGAAAATGTTGTTTGCCAAGTCTTGGGTACATGTATGTCGATACATGTGAATACACCATGCTTGAGACGAGAATGCTCTCCATAATTAAGACTTTTATCAAACTATATTTTCACATTAATGAACACATATGTGTTAAAACCACTTGATTATACTCTGCTTTGTACTTTGACCCATAAAATGTAACTTGTCTGAAGTTGAAAAAAAATCTTTTCAATCCCTATCTGACATGACATTATTCGTAATATTAAGATCTCTCGAACGCTGCAAATAAGCCACAGGAACAAATTAATATAGAATAGAAACAACAGATGATAAAGATCATATACTGGCATAATACTACCTTTATCATTTGTTTTGATAAAATAATTTAACACATGTTCATCAATCCATTTTCCCCCCATAACGTCAAAGATGATGTTCTTTTCCTGTTCCACAAGAGTAAAATTATATAGAATAGACCTCAAAATTAAGAAGAGAAAAAAGATCATAGAATGGCATAATACTACTTTTATCATTTGTTTTTTGATAAAATAATTTGACGCATGTTTATTAATTCCTTTTTCCTTCATGACGTCAAAGATGATGCCCTTTTCCTGTTCTCCTAACACCTCCCAAGCGATATTTCTTAAGGGTGAAGTGTCGTTTGTGTGCGCCTGGGTTTCAATTTTCGCTTCTGTTTAGTAATTGCAAGATTGTTGTTTAACATTTTTACTCCAATTCAAAGGTTCGAAAACCCTAAGCTAAAAGAAACATACCCAAAAAACGTTTTTCGAAAAATAATTACCAATGATTCAAATGAATAAAAACACAATGACAAAGAAACACAAGCATTTCAGTCCAAACTGCTCGTTTTATTCAATTCGCCTTCAATTTAAGTTACACTTTCGCAGAGGTTAAACATCCTGTTGAATATCCGGACTAGACGATTTATTTACAAAGTTTTGAAAATACTGTGTGCAGAGTGCAGCCGTCTCTCTTTACACAATTTACGCTTGGCAATTCGCCCCAGACTCAGTTTTTGGATACCCATCATTGTCCACCCCATGGGTGATCCCCTAAAAGTGGGGGGAGGGGGTGAGAAAAGTCATATCTGACCATGAGCAGAAAAAAAACGACAGCAACAACGACAATAACAACAACATTAAAAGATTTTTTTCAATTTACACAAACAACTTTTCTTTTTAAACTTTAAAACTTTAAAGATAATTTTTTCAGATTTTTTCAATATAAGATCTGATTGAATCGACAACTTCCGTCCCCTTCTCCCTAAAATCACGTGAAACGTAGAATAACCTTTGTCACAGACCATGATCTCTCATTTCGCTTCTGTGACAGTGGAGTTATCCACAAAAACTTGATGGCATGAAAAAAAAGTTCACCACTTGAGAGTGCTGGCAGAACATTAGACCGCCATGAAGATCGTTTATATCTTCTTCTTAACGGTGATTTTGGCTGTCCAAAGCGCTGAAGGTAAGAGAAATATCAAATGAGGGTGTCGTGTTGAGTTGATTAGTTTTATTTCGATTTTTGGTTCGAGGAACCAAGAGTCCGAAACATAAAAGTAAAATTTTCGCGGAGTGTTCTGGAATAACTTTCATGATGCTCAGTGCGAAATTGACATTGCATTTTTCAATAATTCATTCTTATGACATAAATCAATTATTGCTATAAATGGTATCATTTACATAGAATATTCCATTTTCTGACATTTTCATAAAAAATAGTTTAATAATCTTCATATAGATAAATTTAGCATTTCCTTATCATTTATTTTTCTCGCCTACTTCCCTGGTTCTTGTTGCCATGACTTGCCACTGAGAAAATATCATCGTATTTCTCTGCATTTAATAAATATGCCCCGTACCTTTTTTGGGTCTGAACATATAATGATTTGCAAATTTTTAAAACTAATTAGTTAAAACTACCGATCTTTACAGAATTCATGGCTGATCTGGTAAAAGAACATAAACACTATTAGTATGGTTAAAATCACCAGAAGTGGAGATGATGAAGCCTGAGTAAAGATTATTTAATGTCCCTGTATATTTCTGTATATTCATTTTGGAGGTACTGTAAAATTCCACCAAGAGACCTCTATACTAGTCCTGTGCCTTTTTAACACATCCATACACATGCGCGCCGAATACTGACGCACGCGGTCACGTTTCAAAGTCCTCTTCGAATAGAAACGATTTATTCAGACAAGAAAACTGCCTTCCTAGTATATTTAGAAGTTGTTTGACATTGTGCGTCTGCCAGCGGTCTAACTAATTAATTCTCGTCTCTGATGAAGAAATACCTTCATAGACAACGGGTTTCAATTTCTTTCTCCAACCAGCCAAAAACGGCTCCCTGTCCCTGGGTCGTTTGTTTAAGAGGAAAGCAGATGAGCCCTGATCTGAGACCAAGCATACCTTGATATGCGAGTCACATTACCCATCAAAAGACAAATATTCTACACCCTTCGCTTTTCGACCGAAGAAGTATTCAGTGGACACGGGTAGCCTAGTCAAACCAATACGCGAATAAACCGAATAGACACGCGCGTATAGACATAACACTGTGACATAACAATATACTCTGTTATAAATATACCCTTAGGTATATTATTTATAGTACGACTTGTACTTTTATTGTGGTTTGTTTTGGGGCCCCTAACTTCTAGATATAGTGTGGTTTTATATCTCGCATGGGGCACACAAAATGTAGATGTAGTACGTTGTCCCTAAACAATATGCAGCTCTATCCTAATGATGAATAAGAGATATGAGGGATATGTTACGAAGGTCTGTAAACCTGTGATTATATTTTGTTTTCAATTTAGAATAATTATTAAAGAGCACTACGAAAACACGGATTTCTGCTTATCTGCTCAATTCTAATTGTCACTAATTAATCAATTAATAAATGGATCAAAATCTAATCATGCATAATTTTTCTAACAGACAAATAATCAACTTACGATTAATTTATTTTTGGATCAAACCAAAAATCGAATAATTATTGTGTACTTGGTCCACTCCCGAGAGTTTCTGATTATTTAATCAAAATCCGTCTATTTATTTTTGCACAATGTAGCTTACATACCTTACCAGTGCAAACAGATGAACAAACAATGCGACATTGCGACAGTGTAATGGAATCGGTCATTCGCTTGGGTTAGGGTTATGAACTACGCTTTAGGCAAAGTAAATAGTGAGCTGCTGAACTTTATTGAACTCTCATTCTCTATGAAACTGTCCAGTTAGATCTTGAATTTGGTCGCCACATTTGTCTCAGGAACACCGTCTCAACAACGCCTCGACGATCATCTACGACATTTTGTGTTAAGCTCAACAGTTCCTAGTTTATCTAATCAAAACAATAACAATATAATGTTTGTGATTTATGATGTTTGACATCTATTTATAATAATAATAATAATAATAATAATAATAATAATAATAATAATAATAATAATAAGCGATGTGTACAATGTAAATTTGATAAACGAATGGTTTTATAGTAAGAATTCAGAATACAAAGTTGATAACTCAAAATTAAATAGAGAAACTTTGAATTATATATACATATATTGCAAACTTAAAAATTTCCAAATCATTGTAAGATCTGTAAAATTCTAAAATTAATTAATACATTGTTTAGTGAAAATATTTTTGCAACGTTTTTACATTTTCAGCGTTTTTCTTAGTGCATGCTGAGGCAACTGTCGTTAGCTGGGCGCTGAGTACCATAAAATTTACTTATTATATCTTTATTCAGTCTTCATTTCATCTATCTTATCATTTTTGCATTGATGGTCGACGAAACTGTGATTATTCTTAATAAATACAAGCAGTGCCAGTATACTGATCTTCTGGATCTATTTATCTGAAATACAACTGCTCAGTTTCTCTTTTTTTTTGTTTACCAAAGGTGGCAATGGCAATGGCAATGGGAATGGTAATGGCAATGGCAATGGCAATGGGAATGGTGGCGATTCCACGACCACGGCTGCCACAGTGGAAGTAGAAGAAGATCTAGCACCAGGCTGTAAAAGTATGGACTATTTGTAAAAACCAATTATTATTGGGTCATATGTAAAATTTCACTTGTATATGAACGGATATAACCATATCATATGTAAATATTGGCATGTTTGTCTAATAAAAAACTACCTTTTTTCTGTGTAAGTACCTTGCCATACTCCTCACTTTAGAACTTGTTCAAACTTATGGCACTTTCCTCGCCAAAGTGAAGAGTTGTTATCCTTTCAAACATAATTGATACAAAATCGAAAATCAAAACACTTATAATTCCAGGGATAAATTAACTTTTCTTATTTTCGGTTCTTATAGAAGCCTTATCATTTCTTTTTTACAGTGAAAAAGCGGGCGTTCATCTGCACCACAAACACCAACGGGAACTCCAACCATCTCGTCCTGAACTGTGGAAACCCGTCCACAATAGTACGTTTTACCCGCTTCTGCGATCACGATGACAACCAATGCTCAACACAGAGCGCAGTGATGCCAAATCTACTTGCGTTTGGAATGAATAACTGCGATGGAGTCTCAAAGAAATGTGACGTCGATGCCACCAGCGCTTGTCAAGCTGATGGCTATCCGAAAACTCGAGTTGCATATGCTTGTGATGATTTGACCACCTCGAATTGTGCATCCCTTGCAGCCGACACTGGAGCTACCTCTACAACCACCACCACCACTACACCTACAACCACCACCACTACACCTACAACAACCACTACACCTACAACAACCACCACTACACCTACGACAACCACTACACCTACAACCACTACCACTACACCTACAACCACTACACCTACAACCACCACCACTACACCTACAACAACCACTGCACCTACAACAACCACCACTACACCTACAACAACCACCACTACACCGACAACCACCACTGCACCTACTACAACCACTGCACCTACAACCACCACTACGCCTACTACAACCACTGCACCTACAACCACCACCACTACAGCCACAACCACCACTACACCTACAACAACCACCACTGCACCTACAACAACCACTACGCCTACAACCACTACTGCACCTACAACTGCTGTGCCTACAACCACCACTATGCCTACTACAACCACTGCACCTACAACTACCACCACTACAACCACAACCACCACTACACGTACAACAACCACCACTACACCTACAACCACCACTGCACCTACAACTACTGTACCTACAACAACTAATACACCCTCAACAACCACTACGCCTACATCAACCACTTCAACCGCCACTACGCCTGCAACCACATCTACTATCAGTAACGCTGGTTCTTCCAGCAATGCAGGAGACAGTAACGCAGGTTCTTCCAGTAATGCAGGCGGCGTTAATGCAAGTTCCTCCAGCAATGCAGACGGCAGTAACGCAGGTTCTTCCAGCAATGCAGGCAGCAGTAACGTAGGTTCTTCCGGCAATGCAGGAGCCAGTAACGCAGGTTCTTCCAGCAATGCAGGAGACAGTAACGCAGGTTCTTCCAGCAATGCAGGAGACAGTAACGCAGGTTCTTCCAGTAACGCAGGTTCTTCCAGCAATACAGGAGACAGTAACGCAGGTTCTTCCAGCAATGCAGGAGATAGTAACGCAGGTTCTTCTAGCAATGCAGGAGACAGTAACGCAGGTTCTTCCAGCAATGCAGGCAGCAGTAACGTAGGTTCTTCCAACAATGCAGATGGCAGTAACGCAGGTTCTTCCAGCAATGCAGGAGACAGTAACGCAGGTTCTTCCAGCAATGCAGGAGACAGTAACGCAGGTTCTTCCAGCAATGCAGGAGTTAGTAACGCAGGCTCTTCCAGTAATGGAGGTGCAGTTGCTAACAGCAACGCAGGGGGCAGTAATGCAAGTTCCTCCAATAACGCAGGCGGCAGTAGCACAGGTATCATTAACAGAAACGGAGATTCCAGCAGTAACGCAGGCGGCAGTAACGCAAGTTCCTCTAGCAACGATGGCAGCAGTGACGCAAGTGCCACTAGCAACGATGGCGGCAGTGACTCAAGTGCCACTAGCAACGATGGCGGCAGTGACTCAAGTGCCACTAGCAACGATGGCGGCAGTGACACAAGTGCCACTAGTAATAGTGGCGGCAATGACGCTAGTGCCACTAGCAACGATGGCGGCAGTAACGCCGACTCGACCACAGAGCAAACGACAGAGGGCAGCACCATGTCTCCACAGCAACTAGCAATGCTTCAGGCACAGTTAGCCGGGGGCAGTGCCAACGGAGGTGGGTCAGATCTTACCGAAGAGGAGGTAATTGGTGTGAGCGTTGGGACCGGAGTAGGTGTCATTGCATTACTTGGTAAGATATCTCGATTCAATTATTTTCTTTATTTCTTTAGCTCCAATTCATTTATTAATTAATAGTTTTGTTTGCAAAGAATGAGGAAAGGGCACGCTCGCATTGATTGTGAAGTAAAAGTATGTAATCCAACGACGCTTAACCTCAAACAGCCTATGGAGACGTTTTATAAAAGTGAAGATTATTATGGAAATTATGGATTTTTCAATTGAAAAAGAGAAAAAAGTTAAGCGCAGTTTTGTACATAATTGTCTTCAATATATTTACATTTTGAATAAAAAAGCAACCTAGGTGTCCAATATTTGGATGTTTCAGTGACTTGAATACAGATATACGTTACGTTTATGGACAATAATGTCAACCATTGGTTTAATGGTTGCGAAGATTCTATTGGCTAATAAAATATTCCCCATTAAAAACATGAACGTTTTTAAGGCTGAAAATAATTTTGTGAAGTTCAAATTTAAGACTTTTTTGGATGGACGAACATTTTCAGTGATAAGGATATTTCATTTATGAATATATATTTCATTTATTCATTTCAGCTCTTCTGGCGTGTTTCCTGATCTTCTTTTTGGCAAAGCGAAAGCGCCGCAGAGCCACGGAGGACTACGACGAAGAAGAAGAGCAAGACTCAGACGATGAAAATGAAAAGGCAAAAGAAAGAGACAGCTGGTGCCAGGACCGGGCAGGGAACAAGGTCGACCCTATCAAGGACAGTTGGGTATCAGGGAAAGCGCCCATGTACAGGCCGGGTTCCCAAACCTCTTTCCCTCCTTCCAGGCCTGCGTCCGAAATGTCCAACGGCTCGTTGCCACCTGCATTCAACTTCCCGCAATTCACCAGCAGGACCAGATCCCCAGTGGAAAATATTCGTATCACCCCTGAGCCAACTGATGAGATCCATCTCGTGTAAATAGAGGGCGCTGTAATCGTTTGATTGTCTTTATGTTGTATTCTCGTTGTGTTGTGCAGTGTTAATCTGTGTATTTTATTCTGTTCAGATGTTCCACCACTTGGACTGTTTTTACGTTTGTCATTCTTTGTCATTTACAATTATAACGTGCATCGTTTATGTATTGCCTATGCCTTTCAAACTTTATCAATTTGTGGTTTAATGATAATCAAACTTCCCTTCGTATCGTATTGCTGTGTCCGAGGCCCCATTCTCACCGGGAACGTTCAGAATAAAGTCATCGTACCAGGAGGATCGATCTATCTCGGCGGGGACTCTCGCTTAAGTGTAGTCACTGTAATCAACTTAATTGTCTGGCACGCTCCCTCGAGAACCTAGGAGGTAATGAACTTTTTTGTGTGCTCAAATAAGGAGATCAAGTGGGGGGGGGGGGTCTGAAAATTTAACTGGTATTAATGACTGCACTTCAGCGTAGATCGATCCAACTCCGCGGGGACTCCAGCTGAATGCAATCAGATTAACAGATTACGAGATTAACACGCCTCCTACTGGCTTTAAGTAGAATACAAAAAGACTGGTAATTATAGGAGTATGTTGGAAACGCCCTCACTGAGAGTCCCCGCAGCGTTGGAATGGGGTCTCACAGAAACAATATTTTACTTGAATGCCATAGAGATTATTTTTGATATATTTATGTTTAACTTTTAGCAATTTTTAGATAAAAACATTTACAATTGCTTAAAAAAAAAACAGTATTTATTCTATTTTTAAAGAATTCTACACTGTAGTTTACAATTAAGTCTTGTATATTTGATATGATAAAACCTTTTGTGCCCCCACAATTTTCAGATTTTAAATCAAAACAACTCATTATTCTTTTGCAGTTATCTCAAATTATTTTTTCAATCTGAATTTTTATTGAAAATTTGTCAGACTGTATTAAAACATTGTAATTTGGGATTTATTAAAACATTTTGTGAATCAGTTATTTATATTTAGGCTCTCTAATAAAGTTTGTCTTCCCTCTGTCAAATTTTGTTTGTGTGTGTGTGTTTGACATGTAATATTTTAATACAGTCTTCTATGATATTACAATATAGCTTATAATGTACAACAATAGCGATGTGGTACGCATATGGGAACAGTTTCGTAATTCTGAGTAGAAAACTGTGCTCTTATTGTACGTTTGGTGTAGCTATACCTTAATTTTAACCGAAAGTGCAACATTCTACATGTTAATACCGCATATATGTTTAATCATGACAAATACTGAAATTAAAAGCTTGAAATATGAATTTTAATTTCACATACTCCACGGGAGTTAGTGCACATAGCTCATAGCGTATCGGGTCAACAAAGAAGCAGTCCGCTATTCAACATGTTTTAAGTTCACATTCTTTTTTAAAGTTCGTAAATGCCGAAGGGTAAGAAAATGACTGCGCTGTTTACCTGTTTGGACGAGAATGCAATACAATGCAGCAGCTGAACAAAGACTTTTGGATAGGAGTTCATTGGCATTCATTTGAAACTTAAACAGTGAGTTACTCTAAATGAGTTCACTTAAAAGGCTGAAACTCTCACCTCAACCTTTTGCTTTCACAAATATAATATAATATAATATAATATATTATATATAATATAATATAATATAATATAATATAATATAATATAATATAATATACTGTATATTAGCCTAAGCCATTTGTGGAACATAAAATATCCTTGCGTTTACCATTTTCTCCTCGCCTCAATTGTAATTCATTCGATTATCTTTTTAAAAGATCTCTCTCTCTCTCTCTCTGCTTATCGTATGCTATCTCGTACATGTTACTTCGGTTTTTACCCTTTGCGATACCAGTACATACGATAACATGTGGCCGTAGTTCAGTGATAACAATGCTCTTCAATACCGAGGTCATCAGCACAGTTACGTCGTATGATGTCAAACTTTAGCCACGAAGAATTACTTTAAATTTTCAAGCTCTGTGTATTTATCCGCCAGCATGTTATTCCATGAAGCTGGAAGGCTGAACGGATTGGGAGGTTTTCTTTTCATTCTGGCATTCTACGGGGTCTTTGGACAGCCTTCGCCTTCTCCGCAACAGTATTTCAGAAATGTCGTGACTTCCCTGAAATCCGGACAAACCGTGTCTTTCACCATGGTCACAAAACACGAAGGAGCTTTTGGAGGTTATGTGGATAATTTCAAGTATTACGAGTCTCACGGGACATCGGGATTCTCGCAAAAATGCTATTTTGACTTCTCCTATACGCGGATGACCAGGAATAAGACAGGTAAGAAGAAGAGTCGTGCCAATATTGTGAGAAAAGTCGCGATGATCAACGACAAAAATACATGTACATGGAGATATGAGGTTTTGATCTGATTGTCCGACAATTAAGATACACTGTTATATAATTAATACATTGTACTTCAATGACATATGTAGACCTGAAAAAGAGAATATCACGACTGATAAATCATATTACTTATCATTGCTTATTGTAAGGACTGTTGACGCGACTGATGGAGGGAAGAATGGATGACACAGGAAAAGTGAACGTCTCCCTGACCACAATGATACCTTCACAATTAACAGTCCAACGAAGGGAAAGCTGGACATGTGTTCTTTACAGCAATTCTTCGGATTGGTCAGTTGGCCTTCACATTCTTCACAATCTTCCTATTACTCCCTACCTTTAAGATTGTTTTGTAGAATCTGTTTATTTTGGGAAACGGAAAATGAAGTTTTGACAAATTTTAATTTCAATCTTGAAATAAATTCAGACTGAGGTGCGATTTTGAATATTTTTTCATCCTTTTTTGTTATTACCAGACATTACTAAGTGTCTTTTGAGACCTTTCACCAAATTTCACATGTACATACACCGCTCCGTATCCGAAACCATTTAGTGAAACTCCATGGATAGGCAAAATGCCTTCCATGAAAACTACAATTTGCGGGAGATAGAAACAAATTAATTCAAGAAATATGTTATTCTAGTGTCCAGTTCATAGGCAAGCCAGATCAGATGCCTGCTCGGGTGACCGGGGTGATAGAGCTTAGACTACGTTTGATGCTGGCGGATAGGATTAGGTTTCATGTCAATTATTCTCTCTGCCTCGGGGGACCAAAAGTCAACGCAACTTTTGGCGGCGAAATACAAAGTACGTTAAGATCAAAGATTGTGTGTATGGAAGAGATATTTTATCGATACTAAGTATAGTCCTAACCGAGAACCGTGGTCTGTTTTGAAATTTGTTGTCAATTACATGTAGGCCCTAAAAGGGACCGTTTACGGAATTTTGGCAAAAAAAGAGTGACAATCATCTTGCAGTCTTAGGTCGCATTCAGAACAGTGGATTTACTAGTCCGCGGGTCAAATATGGTGACCCACTAAAAAAACTTGCCGTCTAATCCGTTAATAGACACTGAATAGATTCTCCGTGGGGAAGTATTCAAGTGGGTCGGCTATATTTGACCCTTGGACTAGTAAGTCCACTGTTCTGAATGCAGCTTTACACAGTATGCCTGACTGAGCATCAGTGTGTTGGGTTTCATATTTCTCATAGCCTATAAATATAAATATATCGTTTTTAATAACACTCTATTGCATTTGGCTAATGCTAAGTGAACGGACACACACATTTTTTTTACATATTTAATCTGCCTAAAAGACAGTTTCTAGAAAATATTTATTTGGTTAATTCAAAAGAATGGATGGCTTTTGGGGTGTAAACACAGGGTATTTTGAATGAAAATGAAAATATTCCAAACAGCAGAAAATAATTCACAGTTCATTAATACTTTGACATGTAATTGAAATAAATCAATCTTTACTAAAATGTAACACCAAAGGATAAGCGAGGTTAAACTATAGCTAATCATAGTCTTTCAAAAGCACAGAATGCTTTGTGACAAAAACGGTACAGAATTTCACTTGATATCATTTTACAGGTTTCAGAAACTATCCTGAAGATGATGACGTAGTCACAGAAATAAGCAGTCAGAATCTGATCACCAGTGACAGTGGGGCAGGACACGTCTTTGATGTGTTCTTTGCTAAAATCTACACAACAGGTGTGTTTAAGATTACGAACTATAGAGTGACCCCCACCACGTATTCTCCTCTTCACGGCCAGGTGACCCAGTACACGTGCAACATGCATTCAGACGAGGCGGATGACGTCTCCGTGAAGGTATACGCAGTATAGCGTTGGGACTCGCTGTAGATCTATGTTCATTTATATGTAATGCTCACTTTAAAGACAGCGAGAAAAAGCTGACGTATCTTCGTTGGTAATTTGAGTTACTACTTTCTTACATGTACTGTGAACAGTAATGGGACTTTGGCAAACACATGTGTCAAGTAAGAACGTATATGACAGCAACGTAGGTTCAGTCACTTCCATCCGGTAATCATCTTTAGACAGGTAGTTTATGTACGTTTTTGTTTTAATGTAATTTTTGACATGCATTATAAAATACAGAAAAATGGCGAAATCTACAATGCTTTGTTTTTTTTCTTTTCTCTCTTCTTATTATTGTTATCAAAAACAAATAAATTACGATCAAAAGAAATAAGTCTCTCTCTATCTCTCTCTTGCAAACGCTTCGTCATGAGGATCATCAAAATTTTGATTCTTCTTAATTTCAGATAGTTTGATTGACAATTAAAACTGTTATCGTTAATCTCAAGCAATACACAGTTCTATATTACTGACTAAATCAAAACTGTTTGGAGGGGGTTATGGACCTTTTCTGATATCAAGTCTCAAAGTTTCTTTACCATTTTGTGTCATCCATGTTAATGTTTAACATTTTCTCGGCACAGGGACTTGGGTATTGATCTTTTTAGGGCTTTCCTAGATTAAATTGACATCTTTTATTTCTATCAGTTTATACATGTAAGAGGCCAGTTGTGCCAAATATTGCTGTGCAAGCTTTTGGACTCATAATGGGTCCAAGCTATCCTATAGGACCAAATTAACAAACTTGTTCAGTAGGACCGAGGTCCAAGGTAAACTGTAAGCTCTCTAGTGCTTGTTATCTCACAGCGGGGCGGAATTTCTCGATTCATTATGTTCCGGATAGCGGTCATCATCATTTTATTGGCATATCCTGTTTTACCTCTAAATCTGGATTCTCAGCCACCAGATCCAGAACGGGTGGACTTCAAAATTGCCGTGAAGGCACTTAAGTCTGGGCATTCCCTCTTTTTCTTCACGTTTGCACCACTGACAGATCGTGCGTTTGGTGGAAATGTTGACAATTTTAAGTATTACGATGAGCCAAAGAATGGACTTCCATATTTCGAGTTTTCTAAAACTCGGCTTATATTAAACGAATCTGGTAAGTAGTTTGTGGTCAATTTCAGATATAAGTTCAAAGAGCTTCGCTTAAAGCTGGCTTCATACAAGCCCGTAGCCAGCAATTTCAAAAGGGGGGTTCTTTTTCTGAAAAAGTGGACCTTTTTCCATAAAAACTTCATGAACCTAGATCAAATTTTATCCAGAGTGGACTTTTTCCCACCAAAAGGGGCGGTTCTTTCGAACCCCCCGAACCCCCCCTGGCTACGGGCCTGTCATAAGATAGAAGTGAACACGCATAACTAAACAATCGAATCACGTTATCTGTCAGACGGGTGAGACGGGTTTAAGGTTAACGCATTCTAGAGATAAGGCTTGATATCCGATTGTAAAGAATAGGGAACTTAAGACCTGAATCTCCCTTGTGCTGAATTTGAAGACTGCAAACTGTATCGTTTTCAGATATCCAGATGCAGCTGTTGGAGGAAAAGGTGGACATTAACGGTAACGTCAGCGTCAGGCTAACCACAATGACACCTGCAGAGTTTAAGGTCATCCGCAGAGAGGAGTGGACTTGTAATTTGCGGGCGAAATACTGGTATACTCTTAACATGCTGTTCTTTTTAATTTTTTTTGTGTAAAGTATATGTCCATAACATTTATATATTTTTATATATATTTAAAACGCAAAAAGAGTAATGGCCTTTACAGTGCAAACCTGGTCTTTTATTTTCTTTTATAATTATTTTGTTCATTCCAGTACAGATCTCAGAATAACAGTGGGTGAAAATCCAGTGTTATTAAAAGCCGATACAGTGCCCATAAGGAAGAATCTGACAGCGGGGATTCGGGTCAGGTTCACTGTTAACTTTTCCCTGTGTCACACAGGTTTGAGGTTAAATGTTGTGAGCGGTGGCTATTTATCAGGTAACGTCAAATCTGTGATGTAAACTAAAGTGTTACTGGTGATTGTGCTAGTTGGGAATACTGCAAGAGAAATATAGCATTGAACACAATCACAATACTTTAGCAGAGCTTGGAAGAGTAATGATGCGAGTGTGGGTGAGATTGCTAAGGGTTAAGTTATACCGCATCTACCACAATCATAATGGAAACTATCGTCATTGATATACAAAATAGCTTTATCGTAATCTTTTCAGATTTTAAAGAATATGACGCTGAATATGATGAACTTACTCAGTTTAGCACTACGAGGATGGTAACAAATGGAGGGTCAGGTATTGGCTATGACGTGGATACAGTAAAGATGTACACGAATGGCACGCTCGCAGTCAACACAGCGAAAATGACTTCTAATTTCAAACCTCTCAACTCCGAGGACTATATCTGCGACATGAATGGAGGCGATAAAGCTGCGGTGTCTTTCTTTGCGATAAACTCTCCAAATTGGTGATGTCTTCACAGGAATATTGGAGGAGGGGTGTGTGCACTGGCGGGTTATCCTTGAAGACGCCCACTAAATGCAAAAGTGGTTTAAAACTTTCAGATATGCCAAAAATAGTAGCATAATGATACTGTGATGTGATGTGTGTGTGTGTGTGTGCCGGGGCGGGTGCTTGCAAAGCTCATTAGCTCACTTGTCCAACTAGATACTTTAACCACGCCCCCCCCCCCCGGTCCCAGTATCAACACCTCACTCTCTTTCTTTTCCTCGCAATGATTTCTTTTTTTACCACCTTCGTCACTCCTCGGCTGAGTACCCAGCGGGAATGCAAGTCCGCTATCTTATCTCGCACGCAAGCTTATGGCAACAAAGACCCATTGCCTGTGGGCCGTGCAATACCCCGTGAGATATTGATGGGCGGATAACCCATTATTTAAAGAACCGAGAAGAGGCATTATTGGGAATGCGTCTTGATGATACTCACTAATGGAATAAAGTTGAAGAGTTTAAGACTAAACAGGAGAAATGTTTTGGTTTATTTTCTGCAATAGGGCTATATAATGGATTGACGAGTCAAAAGGGCAACGACTTCTTGACCTACTGTGGCTACAACCACACGTTTTCTTTATTTTGTAAATATGCATTTATCAAAGTCAAAACAAATATTTTGCCCCCTTCTGTTATCTGTTTACATCTAATATTAGAGCTTTGTCCTGTCCCCCTATATTTTGCAATGAATGATCATGACGTATCATTTGACACATAACACGCTCTCAACATTGTTCAGGTCAACGGGGCGAGAAGAATATTGTGCGTGTACACATGTACCTCTGTTATACCGTGGCTTCCCTTTTGTCGTGCTCTCCACATCAGCTGATAATTAGATGTTACTGTTCACGGTTCTTAGCACTTATTAAGTGTATGACTAAAACCTTGGAGGAATAAAAATTTTGTTTTATTCGTACAAGCTCGAACCGTGCGCTGAGAGAGAGAGAGAGAGAGAGAGAGAGAGATGGAGGGGGAAATAATAGTGAAAGTGAGAGAAATAAAAAAGCACAAGGCCCCAGATAGACAACAGGTGGTGTCAAACCTTCACTCGTTCACAGAAAAAAGATTTACGTAAATTGGATCATACGTAATATCATGACACAGTTATTGCTGCAAATTGCTGGTACATGTAAATTGTGCATTCCGGTCGTACGTCTACCATTCCTAATGCCCTGCTGGTAAACCTTTTACTTGAACTGTATTCTCTGCTTGATAATTTATCAGATCATAATGCTCTTGGGCCCTATATTAAAGAAATAGTTTGTCTAATTTCCATCACCTTTTTTCAAATGTTTGACCATTTTAAGTGATAAAATCAATATCACCAATTTTACAGAATGTAAAGAAAACATGACAAGTATTTTAAAGGATACTTCCTACTTGTTTCGGTATACAGGTGAATGGGTTATTTTTGGTTCGAAGTCCCTTGTAGAAGCGGGTGAATATGTAGTTGTAATTGTTTTGTCTCAAATGTTACAAACAGTCGTTGTCGGGGACCCACACGTAGTCTGCCAGCATCATATTAACAATTAAAGAGGCAAGATAAGTCTACACTTTAAGTGGATCAATTTCAGCGTTTCTCTAATGTCTGTCTGTAATGAGACGTTCGTGCATATCACAGTATTAAGATGTGTTGAGGGTTTCATATCATGCAATATTTGACATCAAATGATGCAGACGCTGACTATAATCACGAAAATTATTATCATTTAACAAGAAAGCTGAATTCGGTGGAAACGACGCCCAACCACCCTGCAGGGTATGTCTCTTATCAATCCACTTACTAGTCCATGTTGATCGAGAGAGAGAGAGAGAGACAGAGAGAGATGGCAGTTGAACGAGTACAACTGATGAAACATTTTTTAAATTTATTATTTATGTGCGAAATGGAACAAATAGCACCTTAATTAAGTTCACATCTCAGCGCCGGTGAAATATACACGAAGAAAGGCCGGCGTATTCTTGAAGTTAAAGATGAAAAAGAACACAAAACTGAGGCATACGTAATACCCCGGGAAACATAAATTTTGTGATATTGAGTTACATGGTGACGTGATTTTGAAAAATCGCCCCCACGTGCACGTCGACCTTCTATGCGAAGACGCAGGCGTAAGTCTACATAAACAGTCGTGTAATAGGACTGTCTTTTTAATTTGAGCCTCGTAATATAACCCCGTCTTTATAATATCAAAAAACGCTGCGATGTCGCTTGTTCTTCAGGTGTTTCTGGGGATCGAATAAAGTCTGGTGGATTAACACAACTGAACGAGATAACAATCTTCTCCTGTGTGATCCTGCATAATGCCGCAACAATACAGGCTGCAGTGACAGCGGCATCTATATGTAGCCACACGTGGAAGGGTGAACTGAGGCTTATATATATATATATATATATATATATATATAGTGCTACTATGTTGCTACTGCGATATAGCCCGCACTTAACCCAACAGAAATTATGAAAAAATGTTGACTTGTTATATTACACTGTCTGATCATGGAACGGACGGTTTTATTCCAATATATATCTAACCTGGAGCTTCTCTCAAACTCGGTAAACTTTCTGCTGGCGACACAATATTTTGTCCCTTAAAGTTAGAATCCATTTAAAGTACTGTAAAGTGTCCTTTATCACCATTGCCTCTGAGATTATTTGGCACGAAAATGCCACAGCGGTAACAGATCAATGAAGTCTCATCCTTGTGTGGCATTTTCATGAAGTTGAAGTTCATCGATTTTGCTCTCGATTGTTTTAAGCTGCGACCCTAACTCTGTCTTCCAGTCCTTCAAACCTTTGGTGTTGTTATTGTCATTAAAAAGTTGCAGTAATTCCTCAAGCTCAAGCTGGAGCTCACTCGCGTCCTTTAAAATATTGTCCAATTTGGACCCAAATTCCTGAAATTCCTGGTTCATCGTTCTAATTTCCTGGAGGACGGGGATCGTTGCTGGGGAATCTTGGTTGACAGTCTCGCCCTGTGACATCGGAAAAGTTCCTGTCCCACACTGAAAGGTTAAGTTACCCATTGGCAAAATAGGTCTTGCGCTCCAGGTAGCGTGGTTTTATCTGTTAAAACAGTGCACACCTATTTATTCACTGGCCAATTTACTCGGTAAATTTAAATTAACTGAAACGATCATCAGGGAATTTGATCTGATAAAGAACTGATGCACAATGCAAAACTTTTGATTTTAGCGATACCCAAAGGGTCCTAACGACAAAACAGTTTGACCTACAGACAGCCTTATGCCACATAGGTGTGCTTGTGCATCAGGCCTGAACAGACAGCCAGCAGATAGATTTCTATCATCATGAGATTTTCAACAAAATGCACCACCAAGACAGCTGTTTAAATCACGTGTTTCTTACCTTCACGCCTCCTTACCGTAGAACGCGATATTTGTTATCGCTGATGTGATCTTTCTCAAAGTGAACAGGCGTACATAGCAGGTCTTGGGTGTTAGTGTGAAAATCAACACCTACGGAAATTGTCGGTCAGGATGACACTGGAATGCATTAAATACCACGCTGATGATAGACAAATCTGTATCACCGAGTCACAACTACTTCGATTATTTGCACAATAAAGGCACAATATCATTGTCAATTTATCTTAAACAAAACACAAGTCTTCACTTCAGCAAGTGTTATCCTATCATCTCCTAATACACGTGGAGCTCTCTCACGTGGTATGACACGGTTTCCTACCATGCGTCATCAGTATTCACTCTCCTTAAATAAGTAGACTATCACATATATCTCTTTACATCTATAACCAATTACCACTCAGGGCCTCCCAATCACTTACTTTATAGCCTGACACGAGCAGTTCCCTGGCAACAACCTGTTAGTCTACATGTGTTGTACAAGTCTCATTGAAACTTTCAAGTGTAGGCAAAACTGCAACGTAAGAATTTTGAACACAGGTCTCAATTTCAGTTCGAGACATTTTCTTGATTTATGTCTCACAAAATGTTGTGGTCAGGTGTCTCATTATAGCAGTGAGCAAGTGCTCCGTGGTACAACGTACAGGTACATGTAACCACCGGCGGAGAAGCTTGCCTTTTCTTTTGTGGTTGCAGGCACGCACAATAAAATTGCGTCCTTGGGCAGGTAAATAGCCCCTAGTTATGAGGTAGGCAATATCAGACTGTGGCCATTTTCATATAATGCCTGCCTGGCAATCCCCTCGTGGATGTGAATAAGTCAGGAAGCGAATTTTGTTTTGGCATTTTTCACTTTTTGTTTTTTCTTTTCACTCTTAGCATCTTTCTACCCCTGTACGTGCTTGTTTTTCAAAATGGGCAGGTGAATAAGTAAGGAAGCGATGCGTTAGTTGTGCCGGCAATGTAGTGAGGAATTACTGAATTTTTTAGTGAGTTATTGTGCCGTCAAGGCGTAAAAAGAATTCCTTTTTTAGGTGACAGACACATTTTCAGTATGATACCCAATATTTTGTTCAAATAACAGGTCTCTGCCAATTTGTCAATAATAATCAAACGAAAAACGCCTAGATCAGTTGATTTAATTTATCATTCAACCCATACTAATCACCATAAAACAAAAACAAATATATTTTTATAAAAATATTTCCACTCGTGCAATCTACTGCAGGGTAGACGTGTGTACTTCACTAACATATGCACCTGGTTATGTCCTAGTTATCAATGCACGGATTTAGGAGAAAACGCAGGCTCATATTTTTTCTTCAGTAGAACCAGATTTTCAATTATGTATTGCATGGCAATTTTTGTAGATCATCAGCTGATCACAATTAGAATCCATAGTCAGAACTTTTGGATGTCATTTTTAGTGCAGGTTTTATGCTCAACAAGATTTTATATAATGCACATGCTCACGTATTTTTAATAAAAGGCAGAGAAAGCGTTTGCATTTGTACAAAATAAATTTACTTGACATTTTCTTTTGCAAAACGTCGCCATAAACAAGCATGGAGATGAAAATT